TTTATTTTCTAAACGAAATAAATTGAAATAAATCTTATTTATTTATTTTAATTTAATTAAAATTTAATAAAATGAAGAAGCTAAGGAATAAACAAAAGGAAGATAAAGGAAAAACGAAGAAAGTAAGATAACAATGAAGGGAAAATAAAGGGAAGAATTAGAAGATAAAGGGAAGGTGACAAAAGTGAAGAATTAGATGATAAAATAAAAGGTAACAAAAGGGAAGAATTAGATAATAAAAGGGTAGATGACAAAAGGGAAGAATTAGACGACAAAGAGGAAGGTGACAAAAAAAAAGAATTAGACAATGAAGGTGTAGGTGACAAAAGAGAAAAATTAAAAGTCGAAGGGGAAGGTGACGAAAGGGAAGAATTAGATAACGAAGGGGAAGGTGATAAAGGAAAGGTAATGAAAAGGAAGAATTAGATGACAAAGAGAAAAGGAAGAATTGGATAATGAAGAGGAAGGCGATAAAAAGAAGATAAAAGGGAGTAATAAAGGGCAAGATGAAAAGGAGTGATGAAAGAGAAACAAAAAAGAAAATGGTGATGAAGGAGATAATCAATGAAAGAAAAAAAGGTTAGTAAATTATTTTTTTTAAATTAAATTAAAAAAATATTAAAAAAATCTTTACCAAATAATTTTTTTTATAAAAGAAACCCTTTTGCTTAGAATTAATTAAGAAACAACCGTCCTAAAAAAAAGGAAAATGAAAAAAACGAAGTAACAAAAGAATAAACGAAAGGAAAATAAAGGAAAAACAAGTAAGACAACAATGAAGGACAAGACAAAGAGAAGAATTAGATGATAAAAACAAGAAGGAAACAATGAAAGAGAAAAGCAATGAACGAAAAGGAAAATGAAAAGGAGTAATGAAGGAAGACAAAAAAAATAACGAAGATAATCAATGAAAGAAGAAAAAGAAAAAAAGGTTAGTAAATTAATTAAATTAAAAAAATATTTAAAAAAACTTACCAAATAATTTTTTCTTATAAAAAATACCTTTCATCATTATTCTGAAAGAATGATTTTTTTTATCTTTCTTTTGGAATAATATAATAATTGTTCCTTTAGAATGATTTTTTTCATTGTTCTATTAGAGCGATACATCATTGTTTCTTTAGAACGATTTTTTTATCGTTCTTTTGGAACGATACAATAATCGTTCCTAATTAATTAAAAAACAACGTCCTAAAAAAAAGATAAAAATGAAACAAAAGGAAGACAAAGGAAAAATAAAGGGAAAATTAGATGACCAAGATAAGAAGAAGACGATGAAGGGGAAGACAAAAAGAAAAAGGCAATAAAAGAAGAAAGAAAAAGGGTAGTAAATTATTTTTTTTTAAATTAAAAATTATTAAAAAAACTTACCAAATGTATTGTTATCTTACGATACTAACGACTGAAAATTAGTATTAACGCAAGATTAACAAAGGATTTAGCTTTAAGACTTT